GGCGGCAGCGGCGGCAGCCCTTAATTGTAAGTAGATCTCTTCAGCCAGCATTGCTGAGGGCCTCCATGAGACCATGTGATAGCTCGGCCAGCTCTGCGCGCTTCAGAATCTCCTGCATTTTGACATGTAAATACAGCTCTACCTGACAGTGTGAGTTTAGCTATGCTAAATCCGGAACACAAATATCAGACTTGATGGCAGCTGCACGCCCATACTACCAAACACATCCACATTGCTAAATGCCAGATGAGGCCTGGGAGCAGAGGCCTCGCAAGACGCGCTCCAAGGCATGCTGTAGCTGCGTGGCCGCTGCAGATGCAGAGAGCTGGCTGGCCTGCAGAGAGCACAGAGCCGCTTAAGCCGCTCAAGAGCGGCTTTCCTTTTCTCTTCCCGTTCCGGAAGTGGTCCTCGAGGAGCAGGTGTCGGAGCACTGGTGCCTCAAAGCCTCGAGGGAGGCGCTGCCAGAGCCTGGATGTTGCAGCGTTGCAAAACAGCGTGAAAGCCAAGGCCCAAACAATGCAGAAACAAACTACAAGTTGAAATCCGCTGGGTTTTTTCCCAAGTTTGGCAAAGGCTTTGATGTCCAGGCGTTGGACAGGGGAAAGGTTCAGGTTAATTACACTTCAACACTTCCTCATCTTCTCCACTCCTTGTGGTTCCCGGAGGGTCCGACCATAAGCTAGCAACGATGGAGTGATCCCAATCCAGGAAGGATCTGTCATCTTGTGGCTTGCAGAAAGTGGATTTGGGTGTTGCCCGCTGCTTTCAGGTGCATTTGCTATTGATGATTGATGCAATGCAAGCTCTTGTCTCTGGGCATCCGTAGCAAGAATTCATCCACCCTCCTCGCCATCCTTCACCAGGTCTCAAGCATTCATTCAATTACACAGATAAGTCCCTGGGATAAGAGAGGCCGGAATGAAGTCGTTGTATTGATCATTCATCCCAGGTTCTTTGCAATGGCCCTGCCCGATTGCACAAAGTGTGCAGTGTTCAAGTCAATCTATTTTCACCAAGACCCTGAAACTTGCCTTGGAAGCTAGTCCACTTGAAGCGTGCTGCAGCATCTTTGGACTGACATCGATCTGCAACAATATCATGTGGATCTGCAAACGAAGCCCAGCTTGTTTTTTCCGTCGCTCCTCCTCCAAGAGATCTGCTCTTGGTTCAGAATGGAGACTCCGGCCAAAAATGTGTATGCATAGTTGTCTCTCATCACTGTACTTGTCCCCACGAAACATTTTCAAGTTTCGCAAGTGCACAGTCAAACAATTCTAGTATGGGCAGCGGCTTGGTAAAGCACTCAGGCTTTATGAAAAAGTGGCGTATGAGCGAACAGGCGGGGTTTTTTGGAGGCAAGCCGTGCAGGCGAACCGCAACTTCTGGGATGGCGGCGATCGGCATCAAGGAAATGGGATCACAAGGTTGAGGAAGTGGAGCTTTTTGCAGCTGTTGGGCAGGCATAGATATGCCTCAAGCGCCGGGTCAGGTCCAGTCCTCCGTCACATACCACCCGTCATCCTTCCCACATTTGCTTTTTTTCCCGAATGCGTAGCAGAAGGGTGCCCGTTTTAAGGTTGGGGTCCAGGGGTCCAGGAGGCGACGCGAGGTCGTTGCGTTGTGTCCGCAAAGCGCTCGCAAAGCGTTCGCAAGCGTTCGCAAGCGTTCGCGGAGGGTCGGACATGCCGGAG